TACCAATACTATATAGCCACGCACTTAGCACGTATAGTTGACTGGAACCATCACTCTCCCTCCAAACTTTGGATCGAGATAGAACAATCCCTCGTAGGAGCAACACTGGCTAATTTACCTTGGAGTATGGAGCCACCAACTCCACAAATACGCTCACATCCTACTATTGGACCGACACTAAAATTAGCAAGTATAGTTTTCGCCAAGGGATCCCTCTCCTCTAACCCTTCTCCCCTTTTCCCCATACTTGATAACCCCTCATTTCCCCCAGGTATAGGACATTACACATACCCGACTCTGAGAGGATTGGGTATCCACAAAGCCATGCATCTCCTGAAGGGCATGGAGAGGCCCTCCTTCCATGCCCTCCATACCCAACCAGAATACGGACCTCTTGAGTTCTGGTCTGCCATGCGCCTAACCCACTTCCTCTCTACCATTCCACCGATGTATAATCATAAAAGACCACTTACACCATTCGAACAACTCTGTACTCAAACTGACCCTCCACGACATGTCCTCTCTTTCTGTTACACGCAATTGATTGAACAGTCGGTCCAATTCCCACTATGGTTCCTGTCAAGATGGGAGGAGGAACTCCAGCTTGATATACCAACAGAAGCCGCAATTAAACTACTGTCTCTTTCAAACCGTTCCTCAATCAGCAACAGGTACTAAGAATCAGGATACAAAATAGTGACCAGATGGTACCGCACGCCACAAGTACAATTCTGGGATAATGTGCACGCTCTTGCGCAAAAACTTACCGACGTCCCGGTTCCCTCGAGACCCTGCCTTCTTCCTTCTACACCACAATAATATATCGTTGCGTGTCTATTCCCGCTCCCTTACCAGACACATAGTCAATGCAGCCCGGGCTTGTATACCTGCCCTTTGGAAAAACCCAGAACCTCCACTTATCAGACAGGTTCTAGACCGCATCCACGATATCTACCTCATGGAAGACCTTACAAGCTCAATTAACCCCTTCATGACTGAGCTAGTTTTTAGTTTCTGTTCCTAAATGACTGATACACGTTTTACATTTTTGCTGTGTGATTCTTCCACAGCAGCAAGTTTTGATTATTATTATTATTTTTTGAATTTTTTAAATAATAATTATAGTATACAAATATATTTATATATAAACGTTTTATTTTCCTAATTTTTTGTACACTTTTTTTTTTACACTTTGTAAAAAAAATAAGTGTAAAAAAAAAA